CCAGATGCCTGATAACCAGCAATGACTACTTGCACAGGTGTGCCTTAGGCTGGCCACCAATCAAAAGGCCACTCTAAAAAGTGCACGCTTTTGCTCTATTATTGGGGGGGCTCCTGCGCGGGGGTCCGCAAAACCAGTCAGGTTTAACCCTAACCCTAACATGTCCAACCCCACTGACAAATTAAAAAATGTTTTAAGGTTTTAACCAGTCAGGTTTAACCCTAACCCTAACCCTAACATGTCAGTGGGTGACATGTTAGGGTTAGGGTTAAACCTGACTGGTTTTCGGACCCCCCCAATAAAGCAAAACTGCACGTTTCAGAGTGGCCTGCTCACTATCACAGATTTTTTCTGATTTATGAACAATATTTGAGAGAAATGGTTATTTTGTGTATATAGAAAATGTTTTAGATCTTTGAGTTCATCTCATGAAAAATGGGAGCAAAAAAAAGTGTTGCGTTTATATTTTTGTTCAGTGTAGTTGAGTGCGCTTGATTAAAATGACTACAAATGATTTTGTAGAAATAAGAAATATATAAGATGTTTCTCAGAAGGAAGCAAAAACCAAGACAGATATGTGTTTGTGTGAGACGGTGAGTTTGAATTCAGTAACACTAAAGCTGTGAACGTGACACCGCATTGTGTGTAGGCTAACGTTTATTTGTTGGTGAAGAAATCGTACAACTCCACAAGACCCAAGCCAAATTCCAGTCTATTCTTGTTTGCAAGCTGCTGATTAAAGTGAGGGGGGGTAGCCCCAAAGTAAGCAAGTTTGCCCACCTCTGCACCTTTCATCAATCCAATCATAGGGTTTTCAATGAAATGTTGTTGAGATGTGTGGGATGAGGATTAATAGCAGGCTCCTGTTTCTGCAACAGAGGTGTTCACCCTCAAAGTACCATTACTTGAATTATCATTATTTGTTTTGCTAGTAATTATGTTTGATAATAATATTCATAATTACAAAATGATGAGCAGCTATCTTATAATAAGGATTTCCAAGAATAACCGGATATAAAGCCAGATCCAGGCATGTGTTTATTGCAGTCTAGATTTCAGCAATAAGCAGTCTGTGGGCCAAATCTGGCCCATGACCAAACTTTAAATCTATAAATATAACAGGGACTATACATCCAAGCTGGATAATGTGTGGGCTATTTCCAAGTGAATAAAAAAATACTAATATTCAGACAAACACAGGAATTAAAACATAAAAGGTCTGTCTCCGCTGCAACAATAAACAGGCTTTGGCCTCCATGTGCTGAGGCACTGCCCCTTGGTTGAACCTCATTGCCAGCCACTCTCCGGGTACGCCAGCTGTCAACAATGCTCCATTGTGCTCTTTTAATAGTGGAACTGTTTCCTAATGCACAGCATTGCAAACCAGGGAACTCTGGAGCGCACAAACAAATAAACAGCAGCCAGTGAGTGGCCCGAGTAGCACCACTTCACCCATCTCTGAAATGGAGCCATGAAACAGAGCCATGCTTTTTTTTTTTATTTGCTCTGAATGGCATCAGGTAATCTACCAAATGTTGCACCTCCGCCAATTGCAGAACAACAAAACAAAGACATAAAGCCTTACTAGTTCCACTAAAAATAGAAATCTGGCATTTTGTGTGAGATTCTACAAGAGGATTATCCAGAACATCTGTGACAGAGGCTTTACCTGTAGGTTAGCTTTGGGCTTGAGGACAGGTCTGCTGCTGGTCTGTCTGTGCTCTCCTGATGCTGAAGTGGTTTGTGTCAAGCTGCGCTGAGCTGCACTGTCCTTCCACTCTTCTATAGTACTCTATTAAAAGCAATATAACATCTGGTATAGGTGGGTGATGTGTAACAAGCAAAATCAACAGAATACATTAAAAGATATTTGAAGGCACTAGCCTCAATTTCAAGCAAGTCAAGTCAGTTTCATTTAAACAATCCCATATTTCAAATTTGCCTGAAAGGGTGTGAAATAGAAGCAATATGAATTAATTTGTTTCTGCCCATTTAGGGCTTGTCAAAAGAAAACAGTATATGGGCAAAACTCAGTATTAGACTATTTTTTATATAACAAAAAAATGTCTTGTTCAAATTAATGATCCCAGCGAATTGGAGTTGTAAATTGAACACATTTGATATTGAAGATGTTGTCTTCATTTATGTAATTAACTCTGCAATGTATTGCAAAACTGCATTGAACATCAGTTTGATTCGGAATATAATTTAAATCTTTGCGAACATTACAACAGCCAGGTGACCTTTTAATGAATAACAATTGTATTATCCTTTCTTAAATTAGAAATGATCACAAGTAGGTGTATTATTCAACATATTTTGTTAACGAAGTATTTGTGGCTTCAAAGTCCAAATGTGCTGGTTGTTGTGTCTCATATCAAAACTTGTTTCCAAAGTGAAATCTGGTAGATAATAACACTTGCTAGCCCTTAGCTTTAACATCCAGCACTAGCCATATTACTTGTTGCAACTGGATAGAAATGACTGACAGCCTTTGTGCCGTTGGTTGGTGTCCTTTACAGAAAATGTAGATGCCCAACTTACCGACTGGAATACAGTTTAGCTAGCACGTCCACGTGGTTGCTAACTAAGGTTTTCAATTTAGCCACCACGATATTTGTAATATATTTTTCCACATGTTCCAGACAAAAACGCTATAGTTACGTAAACATCCGTGTAAAAGCTCTGTGCGTTTTTCTGTAAGTTTCTCCTCCAATGTAACGCTACACACCTGTGCAAAACTACAAGAAGGTGGCCTACTGACAAAAACGATAGTCCTATTCCAGAATAAAGCGATAATCACTTCAATTATTATTATTAATCATCACAAGCAGGAAACTCAATTAAAGATCACGTACCTTCATTATGCATGAATGCCTCTCTATTGATTTATGTTTTGTTTCTCTTAAACCTTGTTTTTCATCTTAACTTGCATCAGTGAGAACGAACACTCTCATGGTGTGTTCAGTGAACGTCGGAACAACCGGACACGGCACGGGATCAAAACAGAAGGCCTAACCCTCAAGTCTTGATAATGAAACGTGTAACAAATGTGTGTAAATATCCGTCCAATAACAATGAATTATTCATTATGAACAATAATTATTCTTTATTGGTCATAATGACTAATCCTCACATGCTGGTAGTAGTTGTGTTTAAAACTAAGTCTCTGAACTAGATTAGCAGGACAATACATCGTGGATATGAACCCAATCCATAATTGCATATAACCAATCCAGGATCATCCATTCCCTATAAATGAGCTGTCAAACTTAAAGTGCTCCTCTGGGGCATAAGTTGTAGCATTTGGCATCACATACTGTATGAATATGAATTGCCAAGCTGCAGATACACTTATTAACATGAAATTGATCCTGAGTAAATATCTGACTTATAACAAGACAGCCAACAAAGCAGTTTGTGTTTATGGATGCAGCATTTATTCATTTTGGGATCAACACAAAGTACTTGAGCTTGGAGAAATGCAAGCATCATCGGCTGGCATCAATATCACACAAACAGGGGGATACCATGCAGCTGCCAATAAAAATCTTTGCTGAAAATTTAAATTGAATAAGCAAAGCAAAAATGATATAAGACTAAATAAATAGAACACATTTATATTGGACTAAAATAAATAATATTTTAGTCTGATGTGTTATAGGATAATCAAAATGTTGATTCCCTCTTTAATTTACAAAAGCATTTAATAAAATAAAAAAACAAATAAGAAAAACATCTGCTGTTTTATTTGTGATTATCGCCAGTTGCTGCCCAGGGGTTGAATGCTTCCCACATTTTAATTTACAACTGCATTATTTCACAGCACATTAATCTTTTGAGACGATAAACTAAAAGGATTTTGTTTGTTTTGGCATCCACAGCAAAAACCTGTGGATGCCACGAGAGGAGCCAGAAACAGAAACTAAATTGAACCACAAGGTGGGGCTAAAAGTGAGCTTCTGTTGTTCCCCAACCACCCTCTCTCACTATATCTCATTACAACATCACGTTCACTTATCCCCTCTTTGGTTCATTGTAATAACATGAGTAGACTACAAGTCAAAATTCTAGTGTGTACGGAGTGTTAAATAAACACTTAACCACAAAGGCAATCCATCATGCCCTAAATGAATGTACGCTTGATCTGTATCACTCCACTAAATTGAGCACTTTATCACTGAATGTGTCCCTATCATCCGTCACGATATAGACGTCCTTCTCGGCCTCTGCCTCCTGAAAATGAATGATTTGGGATGCCTTATTGAGACTCCGAGCCGTGCTCTCAATCTCTGCTGCACGAGGACTCTTTTTCCATTCATCCAACATGCAACAATTAGGCTACAGCAGGAGTTTTCCAACGCAAAAGAAACATTACAATGTAAAAGAACAAATTAATCCGGCTGAGAGAGCGTTTTGAATCAGAAGCAGAATGGGTAAAACATCACTCATTATGCTGGATAATCAATATTCCAACTTCTGCTGCACAATAAAGCGTTAGCCTAAACAGGAGGATAGTCAGTCCTTTGCGCAGCGTCTTTTCAAATTGTCATTAAATCCTTGAAGCATTCAACAGGCATACTGTACAGTTTTCCAAATGATGCTCTTAAATACATTTCTTATATTGACTTAAAAAAACGTGCCTTACCTGGTAATCTGTGTTCTGTCTGTTGTCCAGTTCGGAAATAAATTCTCTGTTAGTTTGGATCAGCTTTTCCGTGAGTGTCCGCTGCCTGCAGGAATACGTCGTTTTGCAAGAAAAACGTAATTGCAATGTAACTCAATTACCCCTTCTTTATAGTTCTCTGGATGTTGTTCCGTGCCTCCCTCCACACACCGAGGGAGAGAGATGTGCAGTACAACGCGTTACAGATCACACCAACAGCAGTCCAGTTAAATCTGATCTTTAGAGGATAGAATATGTTTCCGTAATGTGGGACATCAGCGCGCCCCGTGAATCAAAAAACATCCACATCCCAAATAGTTGGAAAAATAACCCTTTCCACTTTATCCCCCGAAGAAAGCAGTCCTTTTCACACTTTTAGTCCTTACTACTTACGTTGCCTTGATATCTGATAGGCCCACTGAACAGGAAGGTCTCTATATATTAGGCTTAATCTAACGAAGCCGCTGATGCTGCGTATCCTGCATCCCACTACCAGCCAGGGAAGAGTGCAATGAGAAAGACAGTCAGTGATTTCGCCTTGTGCTGTGTGCTGCTTCAATCAAACGGACCGGTGAAACACGCTCTGTCCAAAAATCTCCTCCTTCTGTATTCTCTTGTGGTGTAGATGTAGTCCTTTACGGTCGGGTAAACCCACTGCGGTCCGGTGGAAAGATGCAGAGCAGATTGAGGTGCAGGCGAAGTCTCGTCCCTTTTGCTTGTGCGCACACACTCACAGTCAGAGGGGATTTTTCTGTTGGTGCCTTCCTCACACCGCCTCTGACCAAACGTGAAAAAGAAGAATCCGGACTCCCGATGCATTTATATGAGCGACTGAAACTATAAAGGTTGTAAGGAGTGGACTGCGTTATTTTAATCATGTCAAAAGCTCATCTGACATAAAAAGGAACATGTAAACGAGATTCTTTAATACGACTGTACACTGCAAGGTTCAGCAGTGGTTAAACATAGTATTATGAGAAGACTTTGTTCTATCGCCAGCATTAATGCACAGTGAGGAGTTATGTGTTAATGTAGGCAGCACATCACTTTGATGCAACTCGCTGTAAGTAAATGTATTCATACCTGTTTACTGCAGCCTAGGGCTTGGTGAAAATGGAAATAATTGTTAATGTTTCTTCAACCCGGTCTACTGGGGATACAGCAGCAACATTTGGAGGGCATGCACAGACAGAGCAGCAACAAGGTGATCTCCATCCTCGACAGGTGAAAAGTACAACACAACCTCTATAGAGCACCCCCCCTGCTGACCTAATCGCCAATCAACAAACAGCCTATTGCCTTGAGTTGCACTTTTACATCTGTCAACATCTACTGGGATTCAATGGGTCAACAATAAGGTCAAACTGCTGCTCCATCTTGCCCTTTAACTGGTTGTGAGTCAAACTTTTCCTCTTCCCACATGTCTTATTGCCACATGTTCATTGTGCATTAGGAGGAGATGTGAGATGCAGCAACAAGGGATTGTATCACACCACATGTAGTAGAGGACATACATGTGTGGTTAAACACCAAACACTGTAGTCAAAGGTGAAGGTTGATGCAACATGTGAGAAAAATGTCTATAGACATTATCATCCTATCACAATTCTGCTCTCAGTACATCCGCCAATCATTCTGTCTTTACACTGGAGACACTCCAAAGAAATACTGGAAAGCAACCACATGTAACAATATTGCTCAACAGAGAATTGCTCAGAGAATCGGAGAATTGTGTCACGTAAAAGCCTGATGGGAGACTAACGTTGAGGGAGGCTTTTCCCATGATAGCAGACTGGGGATGTTTTATACCTCAGAAATCACCTGCAGCAACAGCACACCCAGGGCCATGTTAGCCGCAGGAATAACACTGAATGAAGGAATAGATGACACTGTTATATGCAAGTGTAACAGCACATTTTCTACATGCTGTCACTAATACATTTGCATACCATATAATGTATATTGATAAAAAATGGAAAGTGGAAAAGTGGAACTCAAAGATGTGGTACCCATAATCCACACTCTATTATATGTGGCCAGAATAAAAACGTAGCCTATTTGGATATTGGTGTAATGCAGCCAGAGTGCCCTGAAACAAACATAAAGCAACAGTATAACGAATATGTATTTGGCATTTTGCTATTCTCCAAAAGTGTGGTGAAATCACTGTTATTATCTTGCACATCAGGAGAGTGTCCTTGCTGACACAAAATACAAACATCTGAGAAATATATGCAGTCACTCAATAAGACAGAAAAAGAGTCATAGTGCTTTAAAAGATGTCAAGATGCAGCAGAAACAGAGATTGTTCTTTTTTTATGAGATGCATTTTAGCTGACTTGTCGAACACTGAAGCCCAATTTATCCAGAATGCAGCTTGGCCAGAGACAGTTTAGTCAGCGATTTGGGTGTGTAATGCTAGTAGTGGCTAACATATTGACCCGCTAGCTTCAACAGAGATGAAGAGCAGGTCTGCTTAACTCACTACCTCCAGAAATACTTATGCCTCAAACTTGTAGTCTTGATCCCCAACAGATGCTGACTCGTGTTTTGTCACTTGAGGCAATTTATGAGACTTCGCTCAGCTCCCTCAAACAGGTGCCAAATAATTATATTCATTCAACGTCTTCACATATGTACGAGTACACCGAATCATCTGTAAACAGACATTGAAGTAACAAGTCAGTGTTCAGATTTTAGTTGCTAAAAAATAATGCCTAAGGTACTGAGTGAAAATAAGTTAGGCAGGAGAGGAGCACTTAACTCTGTGTTTGACAGGAAGAAAAAGTTAATGTGCACACAAAAGCCAAGATGTTGACGTCACTGACAAATACATCTCATTCAAATGAAATAGAAAAAATATAAATATTTATTGCGAAGCAGTTAAACCTCCTTCTTCTCTGATAATAATAACAAAAAGATTAACAAAAGATTGTATTGACATTTTTGGATGTTGCATTCTATATGACATTAATATGTTACTGACCACTGGATGGCTTATGACCTAGGCTTCCCCTCAGATAAACCTTATGCTGACTGAACTGATTTTATTATTTTATTGATTTCTTTTAATGTATGGCTGGTGGGGATCTGACTTGAGACCCTTGAACCTTATGTGAGGCAGCCTATCATCTTCGGGGATTAATTTCCTAGGGCTACATTAAAAAACAAATGACTAACAGAAAAGCTTTTAAATCTTTTTTATATTGCCTTTTACTTTTATATTGTCTTTGTGTTGTGTCGTGTCATTCATGGTCTCTATCGATTGCTGAATCTATGTTTGAAAAAAATGCTCTGTTAATCAAATTCAGAGGTGTTGTGTTACGTTTCAAAACCAGTGCCTATAGGACATTGAAGCTCATACAGAATTAGATTCAAACTTGAATTAAATTCAATACTGAAGTCAGAAGATGTTTGAATAACGGTTTAATTGTGGATACAATAACCAATCCACACACTTCAAATTTAACAAGCAAGCCAGAAGTACAACACGTACAAAATAGAGGGAACTGTTCCCACACTCCCCATCAGTAGATATGAAAAGAAAAAATTCCAACATGTCATGCTCAAACAGTGAAGCCATAAAGGCAATTTCTATTATACAAAAGCTCAGTGTAAAACTCTTGTAGGACAGGTGCCTAATGGCTATCCTAACAGGACTGATTTGATGTGCAGTGTTGCAGATAAAAACTTTTATGCTATGGACTTATCTGATGTCCCATTTCAGGCTGAGTCAGAGAAGTGTGCATCTCCTAATGTGAAATAGGTCGCTAATGGGGCATGGAAAAAGACCCTTAAAATGTAGCGTGAAAATCTGACTTGTGGAACCGTCCCATTGACAGCTGCATAGTATTTGCTGAGGCACAATATGCCTGTAAATGCTTAACTATTGGGATGCAGTTGTGTAAAACAAGATGTAAAAATCCTCCATATAAAAATAAACATGTAGAATTCTAGCCATGCCATCCCAAAATCTGCCAATGTTTCTCAGCCATCTGTCATTAGTGAGGGTAAACTCTGCATGTCTTGATTTATGTTTGCATGGCAACGTCTGAATTGAAATTATAACCATATTTGAGTGAGAGCCATTTGGTAAATAAGCATCCCACTGACACTGCAATAGGCTTTATTGACAGAAGCCTTAAATCCCCAGGAGTTGCAGCAATGTGTGCGTGGGATGCAATGCTGAAAAGGCAGGACAAGGGTACAGTCACCTCACTACAAGGGTGCGTAATGCAACTCACAATGGATGACACATTTATGCTGAAGTCAGAGAGTGGGTGCATCCCTACTGGCTTATTGATTGAAGCAAGCTGGCGAGGTGCACTAACAGGGAATAAAATGCTCTGACAAATCAGAACATGGATAGTCAGCAATTTCTCTCATTAGCATTCAAAGCATTTTTCTATTGACAGCTGTTTTGGCATCGGTTCCCTTATTCATTTGTCAAGGTTCCTCTTCTATGAGTGTACTTGCGTGAACTCTGCAAACCAAAATAAAGGATCACCGGGAGTAAATATCTCCAATTATAATGTCAGTCTGATTTTGAGAGTCAAAGGCACTGAAAAACCTTTTTTTCCCCATCCAATTAGCTTCTAACGATGAGTGATGGGGTTGCATTTACACAAGATTACGGTTTCAATTACTTCACGTGAAAGATGTTCTGTATTTCTTGTCTGAAGTGGCTGTGGATAACCATTCTTTGAACAAACCAAGATTTAGAAACATTTGAATACAAATGTGATGTTGTTTGCTAATGATGCCAGACCATTGACGCATCTAATGTGATCAACCCACACACACACAATCCTGATGATGAGTTTTGAATTGGCAAACTAACAAAAAATAATAGCTGGTTAAGTTTTTGTTAAGTTTTGCTTGTGCTCAAACATTTAGACGTGAATATTTAATGTTTTAGAGAAATACTTCAAATTTGAAGGCTTTTTTTGTTGAGGCTTTGATGCTCATGTTGCCAACAAGTTTGCTGAAATGCAATGAAGTTGTTGGTTTTTATGTTGTATAAAGTCATACAATACCTTTTTGGTGCAAATACATGTCAATTCTGAA